CTCCAATTGTTGCTTTAGTTGAGCAGTGAAACTCTTGTAAGCGGGATGGGTTCAATTGATGATTAGTCAGGGAATGAATCAGATTATTTTTTTTTACTACAGATCGCAAGAAACTTGGCATTGGTCAGTCCCAGGAAATGAACACACTATTCCGGTTCTGGTCATTTTTCCTACGAACTAATTTCAATCGAAAGATGTACCAGGAGTTCAAGCAGCTCTCAGTAGAAGACGCCAAAGCAGGATATAGATACGGGTTAGAATGTCTGTTCAGGTATTACAGCTACGGTTTGGAAGTCAAATTCCGCCCAGAAATCTTTAAAGATTTTCAAGAAGAAACTGCAAGAGACTATGAAAGTGGTAGGTTCACATAACATCTACACATTTGAGCAAAGCAGACTCTGAATCCTTTGCAGATGATACAGCCCACACACAGTGGTCAATTTCGTATATAATCTAATTTTTAGCTGTGTGCTGAGAAGAAAGAAATCTTGGTTTTCTATAAATTTGAATGTTGAATTTCTAAAACTAATAAATATGTCTGATGTATTACTGTTGCCGAGGTGTGTGCTCTCCAGGATCTGTAATTTAAACTACATTCAAAGGGCAAAGTATTCTGATATAATTTTCTAAACTTCACACTCTAATAACCCAGTAGTGCCTAAATGTAAATTTATTAACAAGCCCAAATATTAACCACTTTTCCAGGTCAGCTGTATGGTTTGGAGAAGTTCTGGGCCTACTTAAAATATTCAAGACGTCATGTGGATGTGGACTCTAAATTACATGGTGTCTTGAAAAAATTTAAAAGGCTGGAAGATTTTAGAGTTGTGGTGAGTTCATTGGCTGCATTTAAGTTGTCACATTTCCTGCAATATGGCTGCCATCAGTGATATGGCTGCCTTTAGAATTTAAAATGTCCTTCGCATTTACATGAGTGACATTTTCATGTTATGAGGATGAAGAAAATAAAATAAAAACATAGGGTCCATTGTACTCGTTTTGAAGAACATTGATGTACAAAATTGAGTAAAAATAGCACGTTTGGTCTGTTTTAAGGGCATTTCTCCCATTGTTTTCTGTAGCAAAGATGCATCTCAAAATAATTGTCAATGACAATGAAAAAATTGTATATGGTGTCTTACTGCATACTGGTGAATGTCTAGATGTATTAAAAAATTGCCATTATTTATGGTCTATGGAAACCGATGCTAAATTGTCATTTCATGCATATTATTTGACAGTGAATTATGAAAGTCTACATACTATTGACAATTACAAAAACACAAATTTTGACACGAAATGTTGTCACTGCTATATCACAAGTCATAAACACGCGAGTACCATTCTACTGTGAGCTGTCATTTACTGAAAGAGGTTTCTAAGCTTTCTATTTTGTTTTCAGCCCCCGAAAGAAGAGGATGAAGATAAACTTCATGGTGCTAAAGGGGGATCTACATCCGCACTTCAAGAGACAAGTACTGGTGGAAAGACTGTCAAAACACCTGCACCGTCTGAAACTCTGAAAGAGAAACCACAAAGTAAAAAGGCCGATCCAGTTGACAAGAAAGGAGTCGAAAAAACTAAACAAACTAACAGTTCTGAGGAATCATGATATTAAAAGCATATCATTTATAGCTGCATTTATTATCTTATTTGGGCGTGGTTAGCACCTTGGAAAGTATCTCCAAACTGTGACTAAATTCAGCATCCTCAGTGAAAGAACCAAAGACTCGCATCTTCTTCTGTGTCTTCATTGATATCAAGATATCAAAGGAATTAGTTTAGTTCTATTTTGGTTTTAAATCCGAAAGCTACCAGCTGAGGATAAATTATTTGTTCGTCTTTATCAGGGAATGCCTGGTAACTAGTCCTGGTTGCTTTTATTTAATCCATTACTAAATTTGTTCACATACTTAGTCCCTGCAGACTCATTTATGACTGTGTACATTTGCTGGTGCAGTAAAAGTATAAGTGTACTTGCAGGGGCAGTATGTCTGAATTAAAATAAATCAATGACTAAAAGGCAAACCGACATGCGTGTTAATAGAACACCAATCAACCGCTGGTTTGGCCACATCTCCCAGTGCTGTGTAACCAATCAGCTTTATGAATCTAAATGTTACTTACAAGAGCTTAATCAACTGCCCGTTCATTTAATAATTTAATGTGTCAGGGAAAATTATAACTAAATTGGCACGCAATTATATTTACATTAAATTTAGTAGAGGGGGTTACTGTTCTGTTGAAAGGGTATGAACTGTTCGGTTACATAATAAGCATATAAAAGTGTATATGCTGGCATTATGAATAAAAAGATGCATGCTTTTATATTAGTAAAAGTATGAAATTCTATGGAATAATTAAGTTGCAATGAAGAATCATTGTAGAACATTCCTATTATATTTTCTTTATGCTACAGTTTCATTTCCCATCCATTTTTAGTTCAGATTTGTCTTATTTTTCATATCTAAGGCTACAAGATTTTGTCAAATTTGTCTATATAAAGAGAAAAAGTGAAGATAACAAAAATTTAGTCTACATTTCTTCCATATTAGAGTTTTTAATAAGCTTTGCTGGGCATTCATGTTTTTTTCATTAAGAGGAATATTAAGTTTTTAATTTAACATATCTGTATGTAGATGTTTTTATCTTCTCCCCCTTTCGTCATTGACATCTTCACTTTTATGTTGTGGAGAAAGTGTTGTATACTTGTGTAATGTCTAATACACGTGTAGTACTTGTCAATGTACACATATCACTTTGTGCCAAAGACATTAGAAAAAAAGGTCTCTTGAGTTAACAGGGTTTCATAAATGAAATGTAAACGAGTTTTGAAAATGTTTGACTTCAATGTCAAACCTGAAGAGGATTGAATAGAAATCCTAGAAATGCATATGTGAGCTAGGAATTGCTGTCACTTGCAGCTGCCGAGGTTTGATCTAAGTGACCAAACCGCACAAGTATGAAAGCGATACATGGATATGAATAGTACATTAATGTTTGGAAAGTGTTAGCCATTTGTGTCCACCTCATTAGTGAATGATTGAAAATTGGTTTCTGAATTACTGCAGTTTCCTGAAATGCTGATTCAATAGGGATTCATGGCTTAGTAGAATGCAGATGTTTTCTTGGGAAACAAATATCTGTGTACTATAGGAATTTGTCATATTGTATATGACTGCCTAAGTTGCTAAGTATCTGCTGTATGAGACTACCTAAGTGTCCTCAGAATGTCCATATGACAATATCAGCCCCGATTTGGATCACTGCATTTTTTAAAAGATGTACTTGTATCCTATTCATTATTTATTGTTATCCTTGAGATGTATGACCAAGTGTAACTGTAAATCATGTACACATGTGACAGCAAGAAACATTGTACTATAGCTATGTTGAAACATTGTTTCTATGCACTATTACAAGCTTGTTAAGGAATCCCATATTCCAATCATTCTCATTAATCCCATTCTTTACTCCAATGTGTAGTTTCTACACTATATCAATTTATTTAATTTGCACTAAATAATGATTGTAGTGAACATTCTTAGTTTTTTGGATGTTGTCAGATATAATGTACCGGTACATCTTGTTATTTAGTGTATTTTATGATGGATCTTTGTTTCCATGATTTAGTATCCCAAGACCAAAAAAACGCACTACAGCCTTGGACGTGATGGCTCGAACAGTGTTTTATCTGCCAGATCCCATGACTGTGGCAAAGTTACTTGTAATGCGTGTTTTTTTGTTTTTTTAACTTTAAACAGCAACAGTGATCACTCCAACCCCTGGATACATGTTGCAAAAAAATATTGCGACTGTAGAATGTTGTGTATTAACTAAAATGTTTAAATATGCAGCATATGTTAATTTTACAGTGTTAAGTATTGTCTTTTTGTGTATATATGGTAGTAGCAGAGCAGTTATACATTCGGACAGTGTCCAGCACAACGGTCTGCTGTGCGCACGTCTTTCGATAAGTTACATTTAATTGGTCTTAAGTTTTTCAACACAATTGCAATAAAATAAGGATCTTATTGTTTTGTCTTTACTATTAACTACATTGGTTAAATTCCATTGCATTTTATTTCTTTAAGAAACTTGTTATTTTCAGATTGTTTTTCATTTCTAGGCAGTGTACCCGTTTTCAAGTTTAAAGAAAAAAAAAAAGATTGCAAAAAAAAGGCTTTCAGGCATTTTTACCGTCGTTTTACCTTAGTGCTGACCAAAAAGGACAAATTATCTAATGTTAAAAAAAGTTAAAATATTTTATTATAAAAAAAAAAAATTCTCATGGATTCAATATGAACTATGGTTAAAATGTAGTACAAGTGTATTTTTTTTCCCCCTTCATTTTAACCAGTTTTTCTTCCTAAATGTACTCTTGTAGGCGTTGTAGATATTTTGGGACATTCTGTTTACATTAAAAAAGTTGTTTCTGCTGTATTTTAGGTGAACCGGGTTCGAGATAACCATAAAAAATATATATCTTTAAAAATGTTGTAAATTTTTTGGTCTTTTTGAATCATTAGATATTGCTGATAAGAGTTTGTAGTTATGTACTTCATTATGCATATTGTACACAAGGGTAAGCAGATCACTTCACCAATTACAAAAGTGCATGTCGCTAAGTTCATACATTGTACCTACAGATATAAAATTGATCGTGACCAGTCAATTTTATTAAAACTATTTTTGGGGCTTTTTATTTGTTTTCATTGATGTGTTGGTAGCAGGCAATATTTAAGCTGTAGTTTCACCTAGTTTTAAAGTGTGAATTAAAAAAAATCAAAAAGACCAAATCTTGTATTGCACATGTCTTTATTAAGCTTTGTTGAGCTGTTCATATTCGGTGATTGTTCATCTGTCTACAATTCTATTGTTGACTTCTCAAAAACTCTGCAGCCAATTACTTTGATATCTACCAGGTGAAAAAAAATTTCTATTTCTGACTTTGTCTTATACTATCTACTCAATTGCAACTTACGGTATGGTTGATACGCAAGAACATTGTGGAACAATAAATGTGACCGTGGTCAATACCTAATATTTTTATTGTACAGAACATGTCTGCCTTGATATGACACACTTGTTCAAAATGGCAGTCATTTCCACACATCTAATATACTAAATGAAATGTGCCATTCAGTGTTATGAAGTCACTTTGATTCCCCAATAATTGTGAAGAAAATTTCCAATTCAATGTTCTGGAAAAAAAAATGTGTGTGTGAAGTTTAAACTTCCATTGGTCAAGGCAGAAGGAGATGAGAATTTTCTTCAAAACAAAATGGCCACCAGTTGGTCTTGTTGAAACGAATAAAAAGTGAAGTGCATCAAGGCCAGAATGTGTTTAATGTAGATAGATATTTTATTTGACACGATTTAGTACGAATGAAAGAAAATGAATAAAGTTTAAATCAAATTCGTCTGCACACAAAGGCTATCCAGCTCCTGAATTTTGCCTTAAAATGGCTTCTATTTGGTCGTCTTGAATCGGTTCATGAAGCAAATGCAATGTCTGATGTGAAGTTTAAACTTAATTGGTGCAGGCATGTGCAAGATACTGATGGGGGTCAATTGACAAGTCCTCATTTTAAAACTTCTATTTGTAGGTTAGTGAGGTTACAGAATGCATAGGCCTGAGTATAAGCAATGATCATCAGTTTTGGTGTGAAGCTCCCCTGTGGGGTAGAGATTGGAATTTGTTCATAGATCAGTCTAATTCTGCAAATTGGGTCAAAAAAAGCTAGAAATTTTTGTCAATTTCTCAAAAACCATCAGTCTGATTAACTTCATATTTAGCATACAAGTACATAGGCCGGTAGTCTGTTTATGTGGCATTTTCAATTTTGTATTTTAAGTGATTTTTTTTGGCGGAAATGCTATTTTCAAGAATTTTTTTCTAACTGCTATATTGCTAACCCTTGTGCGTACGTCCGGACCTGTATCTTAGAAATGCTTGAACCAATCATAATCAAATTTCACACATACGTCATACATGATATTATACATATGCACATCAATTTGTTTCACGTCTGATTCGAAATCATCAAAATCAAGCATTTCTCGGCTGTTTACAGATTGATTTTGTTTGAACTTGGTATATACATTAGACATTATGGGACCTTGATGGAAATAATTTTGTTTTTTGGATAAGACTGGCGGCCATTTTGTTTTAATGAATGGGCTTTTAGACCCACATCTCTGACTTACTTGGACTGATTATGTTTAAATTTTATATATTCGTTGTACATCATGTTATAGATGTATACATTTATTCAAAATGGCTGATTTTGTTTTAATTAATGCTGTTCCAGAGCAATATCTCTTAATATGGACAAGTACTCGTTTGACGATCAGATACAAATGTCAATCATATTCCTGACATGGTTATATTCCAGGTATATTACTATAAACAAAACTATATATCTTAAATTTGATAACTAACTGGGACTGTGCCATGCATGGTTTGTTTTTTCAAAACTGGACAATTTCCCTATTTGATTTTCAACAGGTAGCAATGTATCGGTCCAAGGAGTAAACAATTCATACAGTGATCACCCACATATGGTTTTGCCTAAAGCAATAGCAATTTGTTGTTATTTTCTAATTTCAGCAGGTATTGTATATTATGCCTCTAATTCATTGCTTGGCTAATGTTATAATTTTTTTTTTATACTGGTCAAAATGATTTCCAATTTTTAGCTCCGCTGTCAACTTTGTCGAGCGGAGCTTATCATATCCGTGTCAATGTTTTACTTTTTCGACTTCTTCTTGGAAACTGCGAGACTGAATGCTTTGATACTTGGTGTATATGTACCTTGGGTAGACCTCTCTCAGATTTGTTCATTTCATGATCATATCTTCAATTCTCTAATTCTGGTGAATATTTTTGTCATTTTTTGTAAAAAGTGATATTTTCAACTTCTTGTTAAAAACCGCAAGTCCAATTGCTTTGATATTACATATATAGGTACTACATGTGGACCTCTCTCAGATATGTTCATTTTGTAATGATATCATCAATTCTCTAATTTTGGTGAATATTTTTGTCATTTTTGGTAAAAAATTATATTTTCAACTTCTTGTTAAAAACCGCAAGTGCAATTGCTTTGATATTACATATATAGGTACTACATGTGGACCTCTCTCAGATTTGTTCATTTTGTAATGATATCTTCAATTTTCTAATTTTGGTGAATATTTTTGTCATTTTTGGTAAAAAGTGATATTTTCAACTTCTTGTTAAAAACCGCAAGTCCAATTGCTTTGATATTACCGGTACATGTATATGTACTACATGTGGACCACTCTCAAATTTGTTCATTTCATGATGATATCTTCAATTCTCTAATTTTGATGAATATTTTCTTCATTTTTGGTAAAAAGTGATATTTTTGACTTCTGGTTAAAAACCACAATCGTTTATGGTGAAAAATGATATTTTTGAATTCTTGTTTAAAAGAGCAAGTCCCATAGCATTGATACTATGCATATTGTTCATTTTCTAATGATATCTTCTGTTCTTTAATTGAAATGTGCATTGCTAACAGCGGAGCTATCTCAGCCGAGAGGCTGCTTGTTTATTTTAAATGATGGAGTTGATGACAATTTTTTTTTTAATGGACAGTATAATGTCCTTTGTTTAGCTCCGCTGTTGACTTTGTCGAGAGGAACTTATCATATGAGTGATTGTCCATCGTCAGTGTCAATGTTTTACTTTTTCGACTTCTTGAAAACTACAAGCCTGAATGCATTGATACTTGGTGTATATGTACCTTGGGTAGACCTCTTAGATTTGTTCATTTCATGATGATATCTTCAATTCTCTAATTTTGGTGAATATTTTTGTCATTTTTGGTAAAAAGTGATATTTTCGACTTCTTGTTTAAAAACCACAAGTCCAATTGCTTTGATATTACATATATACTACATGTGGACCTCTCTCGGATTTGTTCATTTTGTAATGATATCTTTAATTCTCTAATTTTGGTGAATATTTCTGTCATTTTTGGTAAAAAGTGATATTTTCAACTTCTTGTTGAAAACCGCAAGTCCAATTGCTTTGATATTACATATATAGGTACTACATGTGGACCTCTCTCAGATTTGTTCATTTTGTAATATCTTTAATTCTCTAATTTTGGTGAATATTTTTGTCATTTTTGGTAAAAAGTGATATTTTCGACTTCTTGTTGAAAATCGCAAGTCTGATTGTTTTGATACTATACATATCGTTCATTTTCTAATGATATCTTCTGTTCTTTAATTGAAATGTGCATTGCTAACAGCGGAGCTATCTCAGCCGAGAGGCTGCTTGTTTCCATTACATGCTTAAAATAGCACGCATTTTTGTTTATGTCACTAATACAATTGCACAGAAAAACACCTACCCCAAGTGAGCTCAATATACCGGGTATGTAGTAGTGAAATTTCATACAAATTATATATTATATTTTTGAACTCTTTATTAAAAATTAAGTTATAGAAACTTCCTGTGCCTTAATAATGGTTAAAGAATTTAACCACACTACAAGTACTTTACAAAATTTATTAAAACAAACTTTTCCAGTTAAAAAAAAAAAGGTTAAAAACAAATAAAATTATGTGAATCATGATTCACATTCAAAATGAAGTACATTTTTTTTTTTTGGAGTGTGTTAGTCTAAAGTAGAAATGAACTATGGTTGGTGTTAATTCATGAAAAGCACTACTACGTGAAAATTACATCCATGTTTGAAGGAAAGTATTGATTCCAGCAACTATTGATAGTATAAATTATGAAGTGGAACATTAAATTTATTGCATTACCATCACCAGATAAAGCTCCATCCATGTGTGTATTGTCTACAGGAGCAACACTCATTCTCCAACAAACAAAACTGGCATTAATATAACAACTACAAATGGAGAAAACAAACAGGCAGCTGGGGGTGGAGACAACACAACTTAAAAAAAAAATAATGACATTTCTATCTAGTTGTACTAGATGGCATAACAACAGCAGATTTCAATGTCTTTCCAGCAAATTGTTTTCTCAAACATTCTCTTTGTTCCAAATCTTTTTGCTCCTCCCTCATTTTGTAATTTTTCATAACCTTTTCACGTAAAGCCATTTCCTGCTTTTTCAGTTTCTCTGCTTTTTTTCTCTCTCGCTGTTCCTCTTTCCTTCTCTTTTCTTCTATCTTTCTCTTTTCTTCTTCAAGTTGTCTTCTCTTCATGTCTTCCAGTTCCATAAGTTTCCTCTCCATTTCCTGTTTTTGTTTGACTGCCTAGAACAGATGACAACAATACACATGTCATTACGTGATACATGGAACATAAATGGTCTGTTTACTCACTGAGACCAAAATTAAACTCCTGTATGAACACACAGTATATGCAATCATTGTTTTATAGAAAATATTTAGGAAATAAAAAATTCCCAACAGTCGGTGAAGGAGGTCAAGAGATTTTGCTTACATTGGCTAGAAATGAGAGAATATGCAAATTAGCTATGTAATATGCACAGACATGACCCATAAACTAATCTTGTCTGTGCATTAATCCAGGGTACCTATCTATTTGTACTAAATTTGATCAAAATCCACAAGGTTTTACTTACAAAGGTTGAAAAGTAATATGCAAAATAGCTACTTAATATGCACAGACATGACCTCAAAACTAATCATGTATGCATATTACCCCAAGGTACCTTTGATCAAATTCTCAAAAGTTTTTGACATTTTGTTCACACGGTTAAACTCATTACTTTCCTTGTGGGCTTCACAAACATGGGAGCTAAAAAGTTATCAAGTCAATAATTTGATCAAATATTGGTCTATTTTCTTTAAAAAAAGAAGTAAGAGAACCCCCCCCCCCTCCCAATTTACCAAATAATCATTTACTGGTATGGCTGGAATTATTCATCTATAACTCACATGAATATACAGGAAATTCTTGGAATTTTTGCACATTGAGAGTGTTATTGTCAACCAAATAATTGCAGTAGAATCAGCATCGCCAGAGAGAGACAGAGTGAGTGAGTATTATCAGGACCAACCGGACATCTATTATTGTCCATGATTTGAAAACCATCATTCATTGACATGGAATACCTCACAATGATAAACAATGATACTTCCCTGATCATAAGCCCCTCCCCCAGCATAAGCCCACTCCTCTATTTTTAGACATTTACCGAGTTGAGGCAGGGCATCGCCAATTATAGGCCCAGGGTGTTTTTTACAGGGCGTCGACGACATTTATTAAAATATTCATGTAAAAAGTGTGTTTCATTACCTAAAAATTGTGATTGTAAAGTAGTTTGGTCCATGCTTTTATGAGAAAATTTCAGAGTACATGGCGAACGTACGCAACATTGTTCGCACCCTTTCTATTCTGCTATTTACCTAGTTTGAACCCTGATGTGTCAATACTGAAATAATCAATATCTCTTTGAGTGGTAGCTTTCAAATTGCCAAAAATGTCAAGAAACCTGGTCATTGGACATCGTTTTACTTTTCTGAATAATCGTGTCCATTGAGACTATCGTCAATGGGGTGTGAACAAGCAAACTATTCTGTTGGGGGCCGTGAAAGATATTTAAATACTTCCTCCACACTCAGTTAACCTGTCGATAATTGTGAATCACCATTTTTTTTGGAAAACGATAACTATATTTTCGTCAAAAACAATGCTAACAGATCACACGGCAAGGTGAATAAAAATGTAATTGAACAATTTGCATGGGTGGTACAATGTTAACCCCTCCCCCCCCCCCCCATCATCTTTTCTGAGGTGGTCCTCTAGTATAAGCCCACTCCTTACTTTTCCCAATTTCACAAGTTGAGGCCCCTGGGCTTATGATTGAGGAAGTACGGTAATTTGCATGGTGTGATACAAACTGGATTATGATTCATATCATGTTTGAGTATTGCATCATCTTGCTGAACAAATAATATTCTGTGTGTGTGCACCACAAAACATTTTCAGTCATTGAATATTCCATAATCAAGTGAACATACCATATTTATCCGGGTAAGAGCCCCGGGCAAACGCTCACCCCCCACTTTTGATACAATAAAGAAATTGAGGTCATGTCCAGGGAGTCTTTATCTACACTTGTAATAAAAAAATAACAAAAACCTATTTTTTTTCGTTGTATTATGAGTTGACTTCCCTGCAGTCTGTTGTGATTCTGATGAAAATTCTTGAAAAATAATTGTCAATTGTGTAAAACGAAGGATGAATAGCTGTGACAGCAAAATAGGTTATTTCGCGTTATACATTCAGGTCTGATAAGAAAGCAATGCTGACTTGACCTCTATGATGAAGCACTAGTAGTGATGTCATTCTTAGCCAATCAGTAAAGCAGATGCATAAAGGTCAAAGATGACTGACAAACTGTAAAACATAGCATCGTGTGCCATTACAGCAGAGTTGTTTGCCGCAACCCCATTTTTCTTGGTCTTTATTGTGATTAGACGTGAATTAAAAAGTGCCAAGCTAACAGACTGCGAAATCCATGGAGTAAAACTGCCAAGTGCGACAATATCAACGAACTTTAGGACAAAACTGTAGGGATTTTGTTTGACAGGGACAGTGACGCCGACTTGGAATTTGAGGGTTTTAACTTTGACGAAGATGGTGATTAACGTACAAATAGAGATTTTCGATGAACTTTTGTAATTTTTACTGTGTAAATTTGTAAATTACTATTGTTCTTGTATGACTGTTGATCAAAACCGGAAAAAAGTTTACCCAGTTTAACCCGTGACATTTTAGTTCATTTTGAGTTCACGCGTATTGGATGTGTTTGTCGGCGAGAAAACCCTAAATTCTTCACTGTCGATTTTTCTTATTTCTGGTTTATTTGTCACATTATAAGCAATACATTATTTTTACTTCTAATGTTGCATATTATTTATTTCTGTTACGTGATTTTATTCGCCGTACTATCCCCTGTTGGAATTTTATATGTGTGTTGTCAATTTTCGCGTTTTTTTTTTCCGCAGGGGATGTCCGGGCATAGGCTCACCCCTATTTTTTGTCAATTTTCCATGTTCAGGACCCTAGGCTCTTAACCAGATAAATACAGTAAATGTAGGAACATGAAGTATGCTTCAGAAAAAGTGTGCTCACCTTTGCTCGGTCTAATAATTCGGTTAATAGCCTCATTGATTCCAATTTTCGATGCGCTATAAGTATTTTTCTCTCCTCTAGTGCAATCTTTTTTGCTAATTCACGCTCGGCAGCCAGTTTTTTCTTTTCTTCTTTCTTCTGTCGTCTCCTTTCTTCTCTCAGTCTTTGTCTTTCTTCACGTTTCTGCAGCTTTTCTGATCTTTTCTTTTCTCTTTCACATTCCTCTTCTTGTACTCGCTGCCTGTGCATATAGAGGCATTAAAGTTACTCGCTGATTTTAAGCAACATAAGGTCCTTTTAACTCACTGATTATAAGCAACATAAGGTCCATTTAAGTCACTGATTATAAGCAACATAAGGTGCTTTTAACTCACTGATTATAAACAACATGAGGTCCTTTTAACTCACTGATTATAAGCAACATAAGGTCTTCTTAACTCACCGATTATAAGCAACATAAGGTCCGTTTAACTCACTGATTATAAGCAACATAAGGTCTTCTTAACTCATTGATTATAAGCAACATAAGGTCCTTTTAACTCACTGAATTAAAGCAACATACCGGTAAGGTCTTTTTAACTCACTGATTATAAACATAAGGTCTTTTTAACTCACTG